ATTACTCCAGTCTTCAGCGTCACATGATCTTCAGAAATCAGTATAATATGCTGATTAAATGAAACATTTCTGATTATTATCAATGATGAAAACAGTTGTGCTGCACAATATTTTTGTGGAAACTGTGATGCATTTTATTTTTCAGGATTCTTTGATGAACAGAAAGTTCAAAAGAACAGCATTTATTTGAAATATAAATCTTTTGGAACATTATAAATGCCTTTAGTGTCACTTTTGATCAATTTAATGCGTCCCTGATTAATTAAAATAATAATTTAATTTTTTTTGTAATCATACTGTCCCTAAACTTTTGAATAAAAGTGTATCTCATTAATATGAAGAAGCGCAACTGTTTTCAACATTGATAATAATCAGAAATGTTTCATTTAATCAGCATATTATACTGATTTCTGAAGATCATGTGACGCTGAAGACTGGAGTAATGATGCTGAAAATTCAGCTTTACATCACAGAAATAAATTACAGTTTAACAGAGATTCACATAGAAAATAGTTATATTAAATTACAATAATATTACACGATTTTTTCCTGCTTTGATCAAATAAATGCAGCCTTGGTGAGCATAAGAGACTTTAATATTTGATATCATTCAAACAAATATATACATGTGGCTCAAAAGGGCAAAAGTAGTAGTAAAAGGTGGAGAGAGTTTTATAAATCAGTATTTGAACCAATTTTAGCTCAGTTTAATTTTTGTAAATCAGTTTATTTGTTTGTTTAAATGAACTGATTCAGAAATTGAAATTGGTTGAATTAAAACAAATGGCATTTTGGAGCTTTAGCATTATGAATGTGAGTTATTGCAACATTTAAGAAAATTAGGGAGAAATTAGCTTACCTTTACTGCCTCACGTAATTCATCGTTCAAAATCTAGAACAACAACAACAACAACAAAAACTGCTAAATTTGAAATATTATCCCAACATACTAGACCAGTCAAATTAAGATTTACGCAATAGAGACTTAATAATGTAATGTGTTTGGGTTGTAACCCTGTAAAGCCTGACGTATGAAATAATATATATATATATATATATATAAAAAAAAGATTTTTTAAAAATGATTTTTTTTTTTTTTGTGAAAATAAATACTACATTGTTTAAACATCCAATAACCAATAAAAAAATTTAATGGTTGTATTGATGTTTTTCTGTAAAAAAAAAACTACATTGTTTAAACAACCAATAATATAATTTTTTAATGGTTTATTTCCGTGTTTTGTGAAAATAGAAACTACATATCCACTATACTGCAACAATAGAAACATATGCATAATCAGCATTCGTTGTTAAATGTAGGTCAGTCATTTACTACACTAGATACAAATAAAGCTAACATTACTTTCTAATTTGCACAGCGATGCTGCACATAAGGCGGCATTATGCACTAAATGAAGGCATGAGCAAGGTCCATTGAGACTCACAGTAGTTTTCTCTCAGCTGCTGGCTTTCGGTCATGTGCTCCTGTCTGTCCTGCATCACATGCAACAGTGTGCATTACAATTCAGGCAACATGCAACACACAGAGAATGACTTAATTACACTTACACAAGCCTGCTGGGAGAAAACACTCAGTCAATTCACTGCACAGACCTGCGCCGCTGATGGCCAGCTCTATCAATGCAGTTGAGACTTATAGGCAATAATTACTTTTATATGGATTTATTTTTATTTTGCATGGAAACCAATGGGGGGTCAATTTGATCCGCAACACAAAAGTCATTTACAACACAGCAGGAGGGTTAAATGATCAGATTCAGAAATTAATTCAAATGTTCCAGTTTACTCAGTTCAGAAATTTTAAAATATTAATGGGAACATCTAGTCATCTTGTTGAGAGGTTGAGATTTGTAGTCTTTTTTATAATTAAATAATTATGGCCAATAACTGCTTGGACAGCCGATATTACAAATATTTATTATACAGCATCAAATACTTCATTCTGATTGGTCAATCTGAATATATATATATATATATATATATATATATATATATATTAAAATACCTGTAACCAGACTAAAGTTACTTTTTTATTGATTACATGATTACATATTATTCACACAATAGCAATAAATTATGAATAAATTATTGATTCTCCCTAATTCCTCTTTTTCATCTTTCTAAAATAGCCTACCGCTTATATACTTATATTCAGGTGACTACATTTTAATAAGTGTTTTCTCAACATTTCAACATTGCATCAACTACTGATGAACACATTAATTTTTATATGAATTATCACTCAGTTGGTTATTTAATTACTATGTCTTTGGAAGGCTTTTGTCTTTTAAACACATTAAAATGCACGGATTCACGTTATTTTTTATTTACTTGTAATGCAGGCATTCACAAACGTTTTTTTGTCATCTGAACCTCTTTCACCTAATATTTTTACTTGAAGTACCCCTGAGATTTAAAAATAAATATTTTAATAATGAAGTATCACATTTGCATGTCCACGGCTCTCTGACGTTGGTTAATAGTCACATGACATGCAGGTAAACAAATAAAATATTTCATTTTTTTAGTAAGCGTTTTATTTTGATTATTATTTTAAAGGTGACATATCATGAAAATCTGACTCTTCCAGGTTGTAAGTGCTATAATCAGGTCCCCGGTGCATCTACCAACCAAGGAAACGTGAAAAAGATTAACCCAGTAACTTTGTTTAGGTAAGCCTTTTTCTGCAAGCGTCTGAGAAAACGAGCGCGTCTGATTTCACTCCCTTGGTGACGTGGCAAAGGGATCTCATTATAA